AAAAAAAAAAAAAAAAAAACAAAAAACTTTTTTTCTCGCTGGTGGTAGAAAGCTGGGCAATGCTGGTCCCTCAAAATGACCCAAGAGAAACAAGTTGGGTGAGTTTATTTGATCAAAGTGATTTTGTTTTCTTTGATTTATTTTAGAGCCCCCAGAGACCAAGGGTTAGCTCAAGAAATCCAAGGGTGAGTCCTGTCACAGGGGCAGGTCCTGGAGGCCAGACCTTGAACAAAGTAATAGATCCAGGCCCCCTGGTGGGAGTTAATGGATCTTTCCTTTAGAGATTACTGGGATAAACACCGGTTTTTTTTTTTCTTTCTGCCAACTCTTTATTATTTTCCTCTGTTGTCTTTAATCTTTATTTTTCCTGGTTTCTTTCTTTTAATTCTTTGTCATCTTTCCCAGAGTCCCTGCCTTGGCATAACCATGGCGCCTTATACCCTCGTGGCTAATTAATTCTAACCTCGGGGTTAATTTCACTCCCACTGGTAACTGCCTCATTCTTTCATTACCTATCAGTTTAATCCCCGAGGGAAAGAATCTGATCAGCTGGGTTTTGTCCCCTGTTATCTGGAAGGTTGCTGACCAGCCTTTGATGGCCGACTGTGAGTCAGGGACCCGCTCCTGGTCTGGTCAGCTGTGGCAGAACGTGGAATTGTGTGATGTGAACAAGAACACCAAACTTTGAGGAGCGCCTGGGAGGCTCAGTTGGCTGAAAGTCTGACTCTTGATTTCAGCTTAAGTCATGATCCAAGGGTCGTGGGATCGAGCCCCACATCGGGCTCCACATTGAGCGTGGAGCCTGCTTGAGATTCTCTGTCTCTCTTCCTCAGCCCCTCTCCTCTGCTTCTGCTATCTCTCTAAAATAAAAGAATTTTAAAGACATTTAAAAAAAAAAAAAAAAGAAAAGAAAACCAAGCTGGAGCAAAGAATTCGGCAGGCCCAGTAATCAGCACCTTGGAGCAGCGGTTGGCAAAGTGTGGGCCCTGAATCCCGAGCAGCAGCATTACCTGCAACTTGTTAGAAATGCACATTCTTGGGCCTTTCCTCAGACCGCCTGGCTCAGGAGCTCGGGGAGGGGACCAGCAGTCTACACGTTCCCAGACCCTCCCCGGTGATTCTGATGCACGCTCAGGTTTGAGAACCACTGCCTTAAACCAAGCCCACAGCATGTGGACTAAAACGAAATGTTGGCCTGAAGTCAGGGGTGGGGGGCAGGCAGATCAGCAGGAGTGGGGATGCCAGTGGCCTCTAAGAATCAGAAGCAGGTGGCATTTGTTACCGGTTCCTATCTTATTGACTCTAGAGGGTCCGTATCTTCTGTTGGTCAGGGAGCTGCATTCTCCTGGGTTGTAGTACCTGCTCCCGACCAGGAACTCGAAAAAGTGCTGTTATCCCCTCCCTCCACCCCCCCATCCTCCCCACACCCACACCTCCCTGACCACAAAAGTCATGTTCCTCCTTCAAGACAGGTCCAGCGCAAGGTTCCCTCCACAAATTCTGACAAATCTGACTTCATAAGTGATGTATTTTTTTCTCCAAAATAAAAAAAAATCAGTTAACTATTTACTTTGAGTCTTGTGACATCCGGATCATTTACACTTCTCCTGTCTATTGGTTAGGGGTTTGTTTTTGTGGCCCTAATTTACACGCATATGGATCAAAAACACCACCACAGCAACATAAAGGAGGAGGAGATGGGAGAAAAAGTGAAAGGAAAAACCCACTCTGTCCCTCGAGGGAGCACGAACAGGTTACAGCCTAATACAGGACAGGGCTTAGGGTGAGGTTAGCTAGATGCACAATTTAAAAAGGCACCCAAAACTCAGCAATCAAAATAAATATTGCAATGCAATATTTTAAAAAATCAACATCAGCGCTGGGGTGCCTTAGCGGCTCAATTGGTTAAGCAGCCAACTTTTGATTGTGGGTTTTTGATCTCACAAGTTGGTGAGATCAGGCCCTGAGTCAGGCTCTGCCTGGAGCCTACTTGGGATTCTTTCTCTCTCTCTCTCTCTCTCTCTCTCTCTCTCTCTCTCTCCCCCCCTCCCCCCTCCCCCACTCATACACACGTATTCTTTCTCTCTCTCAAAATAAATAAACTCAAAAAAATCAAAATCAATGTAATTAAAACCCACGATAAACAAAGCATCCGAATTTTAAGTAGGGACAGCCTCCAATTCCCTCTGCAGCCCAGTAGGCTTATTAACTAAAGATGGTAGGAAATATCTCTCCCAACCGTCCAAGATGGAGGAAGACATTGGAGCCACACTGAGGGTGCTGTTGGATGGATACATTGCCATCCATTTGCAGCAAGAGACGTACTCACTCCTTCTTGCTCTTGAGCGTAGAAAAACTATGTCAAGCACTTCTGAGAAAAAACAAAGATGTTATATTTCTCATCGATTAAAGGCTGTATGAGCTTAGTCCCTTTATTCATGAAGAGTCACCTCGGACCTTCTAATGCATTCACTTAACCAGAAACACTCTTCTTCTTACTGTCCCTCCTGCTCTTGGTCAGTGCAGATGGCTGGTCCGTCCCGTCTGACCGCTCAGCTGAGCTGGGACTTGTCCGGTGCAGTGGGTGACGACCCCACTGTTCCATCATCCCTCCCACTTCGCCCCTTTCATCCAGTCTGTTTTCCTGGTCATTCTTCGTGGTCAGGATTGTGGGATGGAAAGAGCCATCAAGGAGGCATCACTATGTTCTTTGCTCAGCCACCAAACAGACGTGTGACCCTGGGCCCAACCTGGCTACTCTCTGTGTTTCCTCATCTGTGACAAGAAGATCTCAAAACTCATGTTCCTCTCTGCCTTTCGTGCTACCTCGGAAATCTCACATGCGTAGGCTTCTAATTTTTAACTCCTTGGCTCACTATTCATTCTCAGGGCCTTTCCCATTGTCTCAGGAAAATTAATCTCCCTTCACTCTTTTTCTTTTTATTTTTTTTTTAATGTTTATTTTTGACAGAGAGACAGAGCATGAGCCAGGGAGGGGCAGAGAGAGAGGGAGACACAGAATCCGAAGCAGGCTCCAGGCTCCGAGCTGTCAGCACAGAGCCCGACGTGGGGCTCAAACTCACAGACTGGGAGATCATGACCTGAGCCGAAGTCGGACGCTCAACCAACTGAGCCACCCAGACACCCCTCCCCTCTTTTTCATGATGCATGGGGGATGATAGAAGCGCTTGAGGTTCACATGTATAAAAGCTGTGATTTCTGAAGAAAACCATGACAGCAAACGTCCAGTGATCCTTCCACTTGGCCAGAGCACCCTGCACGATGGTCACAGAAGGTCTCTGTCTGCCTCATCATCTCATCTTCTTTTTACCAAGCTGATATAGCCGCTGATATCCATTGAATACCTCCTAAGTAGCAAGCACTCTTCTGAAAAGCCCTGAGTTAAACAAAACTCCTGCCTGCGTGGCATGACCAATTATTCTAGAACATATATATTTACTTTATACACTCAGGCAAGAAAAAAAGACATTGCTCTATGATCCTTAATTCATGACTTGAAGCAACCATTCCACATTTTAATCTTGGGCATTTTTAGGGACCTGTCCCAGAACTCTGTAGGGTCATACAAACATCTGAAGACTTTCTGGGTTGCTGGAAAATGTGTAGTGTTCAGTAGTGTTCAGTCCATGGTGATCATCACTAATGTCCTTCTTCCCAAACCCTCACAGTCCCTTGAGGGTAGATAACTTCACAGCTTCTGTGCTGTGTTGGCCTGGAGCTCTCTGCTCCAGTTGGGGGCCCCCATGTTCAAGGTCTTCCTCATATGGAGTCTCCAAAATTGTATTTCTTTCCTTTCTTTATGCATAAGTACCACTGAAGCCTTTTTCTCTGACATGATCAAAGCGAGGGACAAGTGCTTGATTCATGAGTCTAGAAAGAGTTAAAAGAAGTAACTAAGCACATATCTTGACCATTGTATTTTTAGCCCAAAACACCAAAGTATATATTTATTGTTCAATATTTTAATAGTGATCTCAGACCTTTTCTTTGAACATGAGCACACTGTGTGCTGGTGTGGTTATCTTTCTTAAGAAGATTCCCACTCATTATTCATCAGTAATGTTTGCCTTTAATTTGTTTATAGCTAGCGGGAATTTAAACACACTTGGGGAGCAATCTGAAGAAAGTGTTTTGTACATTTTTTAAAATTTAAATTCAAGTTAATTAACATCCAGTGTAATCTTGGCTTCAGGAGAGTAGAACCCAATGATTCACCTTGTACATATGACACCCAGTCCTCATTCCCAAAAGTGCCTTCCTTAATTCCCATCACCCATTTAACCCATCCCTCCAATCACCTCCTCTCCAGCAGCCCTCAGTTTGTTCTCTGAATTAAAGAGTCTCTTATGGTTTGCCTCCCTCTTTTTTTTAAATTTTATTTTTCCTTCCCTTCCCCTATGTTATCTGTTGTGTTTCTCAAATTCCACACGTGAGTGAAGTCATTTTCCTCTTAGCATAAGACCCTGTCTTACCATTCTGCACACTTTCTATTCTTCCCCAGTGTTTCGCTGTATCTCCCTCACATTAATTTCGCAGGATTAGCTCATTGCCATTACCGAACTCTTTCCAAAATATTCAACTTAATTTTCATAGAAAGAACTCTTCCTGTGTATACTCACATCTCACTGGTTTGCATACAGTTTCATAATTGCATATTCTGAACAAGCATAACAGGTATTAACTTATTTAGGAACAAACTTAACTGATTCCTGATAAGCACATAATCCACTCTTTAGAGGCTCAAGTAGGTGAGCAGATTAGAAAGTGATGTACTAGTCACAGCTCCTGTGCTGGTGACCCCATTCAGGATGTTTTACAGAAACAGAAAGCTTAGGTTTGTTTGTCTTCCAGTTCGGTGGAAATCAGTTAAGAGAATGTGGCAGTGTTTATAGCATTGGTTAAAACTGTGCTTCCCTATCACCTTGCCAGTAGATGCCATCACTTAAAGATGTGGAGTTCAAAGTTTTTGATCTCGACCCTTGCAACGATGTGAAGTCAAGTACGTCTTACTTTTTCAGTTCTTGAAGTGCCAAGTTCAATTTCACTGCGTTTTCTTAAATAGATGGGATGTTGGCCCTAATCCTAGCCCTAGATCTGAGGGAGAAAAAAAAGATATGGCATATATACACAAGAGAATATTACTCAGCAGAGAAAAGAATGAAATCTTGCCATTTCCAACAACACGGATGAAACTGGAGAGTATTACACTGAGCGAAATAAGTCGGAGAAAGAGTGTATGGTTTCACTTATATGTGGAATTTAAGAAACAAAGGAGAAAGCAGAATTTAAAAAAGAGAGAGAGAGAGAGAGAGAGAGAGACAAACCAAGAAACAGACTCTTAACTAGAGAACAAAGTGATGATCCAGAGGGGAGGTGGGTAGGGGGTGGGTGAAATGGGCAGTGGGGATTAAGGAGTGTGCTTATGACGGGGCGCCTGGGTGGCCCAGTCGGTTAAGCGTCTGTGTCCGACTTCAGCTCAGGTCATGATCTCACAGTCCGGGAGTTCGAGCCCCACGTCGGGCTCTGTGCTGACAGCTCAGAGCCCGGAGCCTGCTTCGGATTCTGTGTCTCCCTCTCTCTTTGCCCCTCCCCTGCTTGTGCTCTCTCTCAAAAATAAAACATTAAAAACATTAAAAAAAAAAATCAAACAAGTCTTATTCACTTGTCACTTAGGACTACCCTGTGTCTACACTCCACTGAGGACACACTGGGCTATTGTGCTTGTTCTCGGGCCCTGGGCATTTGCTTGTGCTCTTGTTGTCCAGTTAGAACACATATGCTCCCTTCATCCCTGTCTCTGTCAGGAAGAGGTGAGGGTTGCAAGTAACAGAATTCTCCTCTCCCCTCTGAAAATGACAGGCTTTATTCTCCTCAACACGGTATCTTTGTTTCTTCCCTTATGCCAGTATTTCCCAAATGTGTCTTTTATTGGTATCCCTCTAGTAGTATTTGTCCTGAAATGGTCTTACTTTTCTTTCACTTCAGTACTTATTTATTATAGAAAGTTTTCATCTACATGAAAAAAAAAAAGAAACAGTATCCCTTGATAAATAAAAGCTCACCACAAAAATGAATCCAATAAAACCTGCAATGATAGTGCCTTCTATCTAGATAATGCTTGTCTGAGGCATGCTCTGTTTTGGTTAATGTATTAAAGAGTTTCTCCTTGATGCATTAGGAGCATTGAAGAAGAATGGAAAACAGAGTAACTTTCTCACGTTTTGTAGGTAACGCCATGTCCGTGAACCATCTAAAATAACTTCCCGTGTCATCTATGTGTATGTGTACGTGTCCCACACTCTGGGAAACGATGCCTTACTCCTGTGACCTGATAAGCAGCTAGAGGGCAAGAAATGATTCTCTTCTGCGTGTCCTTTGCCTTTCTGGGGACCTATTGCTTAGGTCTCTAAACCACCCTCCTTCTGGGGGACCTTGAGGAGCCTTGTGAGCCACCGTGTTATTTGATGGGAAGAAATGAACAGTTCTTTCTGCGACACTGGCCGATGGGTTGGTCTTCTTCTCTTGGAACATCAAGATAGTAGGCTTTTCAGGCCTGGGGTCACAGGCTGGAGAATGAATGTTTTTCCTCAAGTTCTGGTGCACGTACGTGTTTTGGGGGTGTACATGGTGTCAGGGGCGGGGAGTGTAGCAGAGGAAGACTGTGGCATTTTCTGAACTTCCTTAATTCACAGAGTTCTGTTCGTGAAATGCCCCAATGCTCTGGGAGCTGGGGTGGTAGGTTCGCGACTGAGATCAGCATTTTGGGGGGGCCGGGACAAGACTCTGGAGACCGTCTCCTCCCCAGGGTCCCCGCCCTACTCCCTCCACTCTCCTTTTATGGAAGAGGAACCAGGGTCTGGCAAACAGGTGTCGCTCCAGCTATTGACTCTGCCTATAAGCTGCAAATCATACTTGAATCCAGACGCTTGCGACAGAAACCAATCACAGCAGCCCTCCTGTGACTGATGTGAGTTGTTCACAGACTGTTTTTCCTCCTTTTCCAGGCAGTGCTGAGCCCTCTCATAGCCATTGCGCTGAAAATCTCCCAGATTCATGAGAGAACCGGCCGGAGGGGCCCCACAGTCATCACCTGAGTGGAGGAAAGATCAGTGACGAGGGCCAAAAGAGAGCGCTTGGCGGGACATACTTCACCCACGCCTTCTTGCTACCTGTTTGTGCCTTTTACGACTTTGGGGAAAAAAAAAAAAAGATAATATGTTTATGGGGGGGAGGGGCGGGGGGGAGGAGAAAAAAATCTGTTTTGTTTGGGTTTGGCTCAGTTCCTCCAAATGCAACAGGGGCTTCCGTTGTCTGTTAAAGCTGCACTATCATTTGGTATCCATATTTTAGCATGCAAAGGAACCTCACCTTTTGAGAAAAGAGTTAGCGGGCTGGGAAGGTGTCCATCCTGGCATCTGTGCGCCGTTGCTGTCCGGTGCGGAAAGGTGCTGAAATCATGGTCAGAGCGCAGTGCCAGAACTAAACTGACCCGAAGGCACAGGTGCCCCTGGGCGGAGCTCAGAAGACTCTCCTCGGCGTGGTGGAGGGCTTGGCTCTTCATCCTGGGTCAGGTCTCCCGTGGGGGGAAGGTTGAGCCCCTCATAGCGCACCTCATGCCCACAAACCACCGTATGTCCCCTTCCCCACCCTCCCATCCCCCCGGAGTCCCCAAGCCGAGTTCTCTCACGCCTTCCAGAGCATTCTGCAGATCACAATGCACACTTCCAGCGAAGCATATCAAAAGGGTGTTTTCCTCTCTTATTTTGTAAATATTATTTTCGCTATTAAGCTGGCTGCGTTCTTTCCAACTCAGCCAATCCTCGTGCAGGTGGAGAGCGGTTTCTTGGCAGGACTCTGCAAATGAGTGCCTACGGTCCCACCAGCGCTCCCTTGACGCCATCATGTACGGTGACACGGGGGTTTACATGAATTCCTCCTGGGAAGACAGAATACCACCATGTCCACTGTCTCTCTGACTTTCTCTCTCTCTCTCTTATCTTATAAGTGTCTATTTTAATGCAATCGTTTGGACATTGTTCACATCTTACAGCGGCTGTAGAAGGAGACAATGTGATGGCGTAAAAGTAGGGAATAGAGTACTTACTGGGTGGTGGTTATGGGCCTGATGAGGGGTGGGGGGCCCCTGATGGAAACCAGAAGGTCACAACTGGCTTTCTTTGCCCAGGAGCAGGATATTGCGGCCCTAGCAGCCTCTGTCTGTACTCAGCCAGGACACTCGGTGTGGTGCGTGGGACCTGTTTGCATATGTTTTGCTTCCTTGGGAACAGCACTGTCACTTACCCCGTCGTCAGCACAGATGACGTGATGCGCTTTGACTGTTAAGCAATGTGTTGTTGCTGTAGTCAAGACTCGTGCAAGCAGGGAGATGTTCCCAGTAAGGGATTTGTTTCCACTTTGTATCTCTGCTTCTGTCAGAAAGTCGCTAGGACACTTAGTAGCCAATAAAAAAGAAATTCCTTATTTCAACCTTTTGCACGGATTGTGGATTTTTGCTTGTTTGTTTCACCATATTGGTCACACTTTGCTAAGTCTGTCTTTCAGAACACTCCCAAGGGCTGGCTTTCATTAAATTACATAGATGGAACCAGAAAGGGCAAATTGCTCAAAACTGCCCTCGGGAGTCAGCAGAAAAATAAATTGGCAACTGGCATTTCATCGTTAAGTATCTTCATTCTGTAATAATGGAGGGTGGCTTGGAGCAGAGATTCTAAAGTTATGATATTTGTCAGCGACGAGCGCAATTTGCCTTAAAGCTTCGCTTCTCACTGGCTTTAAGCGGATATCTGTGTCGGCCATGTATTCACTGCGCGGCTCTGTGTGGGTCAACACACCTTGGATGCATTATTAGGCTTACCTCCTAGGTCAGAAAATAGGTAATTTTTCTCAAGTTGCTGAATTTTTGACCATCTCTAAATTCGAGGTTCAAATGTAAATCCTCATTTACAAATTCTGGGTTTTTTTTTTTTTATTTCTAGCATATGTGTCTGGCACAGCCCAGGTATTCATTCATTCATTCATTCATTCATTCATTCAGCAAACACTGATTGAACAACTACTTTATAGAGAGTCCTGTTTTTGGTGCAGCGAGATGTACAAAACATGATTCCTGCTGCCGGGAGTTTGTAACTTGGGAACAGGAGGATGTGAATGTTAGGGTAGAGGTACAAGCAACACGCTTTGGGAAACACAGCAAGGTGGACTCTGAGCTGACAAGACCCGTGGCACTTGAGGGGTTTCCCAAAAAGTGGGGCTTCCCGGGACTTATAACCATTTATGTAGTTTCACCAGGGGTCGGTGTAGTGGAACGAAGACTAAGAGTGGAGAGGTAGGGTGGCTGGAGGGGAGGCTGGCCTTGGGTCCGGTGGGAGGATGGCATGGACGAGTGAGGTCGAGGGAGACACCGCGTTATAAATACCAGGCGGGGCATGGGTCTGGGCCCAGCTATGGAAAGAAGCAACTGCACGGCCACCTGTTTTTACAGAGCTTTCTCTCAGCTAGGTTGCCAAGGAGGAGGTCGTGTAGTGACCCTAGGACACAGCCTTTCCCTCTGGGAACCTGCTCAGTTTCACATTGCCGGGATGTTCTTTCCACTCTGCATAGAACCCAAGCTTCTCTTGCAGAACTATATATGTATCTGCTCTTGCCTTACCCTTAGGAGACGTTAAAGACAGGAAATCCCTGGTCTCTCTGTCTTAAAGGTGAATCTCCAGCCACCAGTCTTTCTGAAGAATGAATGACTGGAGAGGTCCAAGAATTTTGTGGGGACCCCAGGAGGCAGTCCTAGAAGATGCTGTGGATGGAGTGTGGCAACTATGAGGGCCCCCTCTTCTACTCGGCTAATATTGAGGGATTTACTCGCTACACCATGTGCCTCCAGAACAATGATGAGCGACGGTGTGGATGATCCAATGGTTCCCAACCAGGGCAGTGCCACTACTTACCCTGGGGTGTTTGGAAATGTGTGTGGATACACACCATGGAGGCATTTACAGGGAGGAGACCACGATTCTAAATATCCTGCCAGGTGTCAGCCAGTCCCTTAGAACAAAAAAATTGTTTTGCCTCATTCGTGATTCTTGGGTTTATTAGCTGACCTTGAGAATGGCAGGCAGCCATTATTAAAATGAGATCATGTATGAAATCTTACTGATCCAAGGTACAGCCTATATCCAAAGTACTCACGGAACAGATCGTTTTGTGTGACGTTTCAGACTGAAGGCCTTGGACATGACCTGAAGGCTTTCTACACGGGAAGTCTCAGAACCCCAACACGGGTTGGCCCCATGGTGGCACATTGGGCTGACAGTTGGCTGTTCTGAGCCAGCGGTCTCTGCAGATAATACAGGCAATGACGGGGCCAATGGTGTGCTGACTTCTGATTGGCCAACTGTGGGTCAGTGTAAGGCATGGGATTTACTTTGACAGCCATATCCATCCGCCATGGCAGGTGCGTGGAAGCTGAAAAGCACCTGGGGGATATGGTAGCGACAAAACAGGTGACTCCGTTTTATTATTTGATCGTGCACTGGGTGCTCTTGGAGCACATGGACACTGACATCTCAGACACCTGCCTGGAGGACATTTCCTTTCCCAAGTGGAGAAGGGCCTGAGAAAATCGTGCACCTTTCAAAATGACGTAACTGCCCGTAAATCAGTTCCTGGCCCTTCAACAGTTAAAAACAGCAAGAGATTGCCAGAGGCAGCAGAGCTTAGCAGATGCCTTTTCCACCTCAACTGGCCACAGTCTTTATCGGTGGACGTGGCTCATGCAGTTGACAGCCCATCTGGTATGTGAATCAGCCTAACTTGTCATGGAAAATTACAGAACATGGTGTATGCATTATATACCCACATCCTTATCGTCTTTTCATGCCTAGGATGTGCCCTGCAATATAGGGAAGCTGGGGAGATACCTCACCAAAGACCGTGTGTTTATGTAGAATACTTAAGGTATGGGTAGACTTACCAGTAAAAGGAGTTTTGGAGTGGAGAGTTCAAATATACACCTGCTGCATCTTGGATATGCGTAAGATGCAGCATAGTTACTATAACCGACCTCGTGATGCACATCTTCTGGGGGGGGGGATGGGGGAGTACTTAAAGTTGCTACTCAAGAGGGATGTTACAAGATTAAAATACTGAAGAGCCAGCACCTCTGAGGATTCCCCTTCCTCGATGGGTGAGTCTACCATTCCCATTTGGGAGGAGGGAAGGAGGGAAGACTGTGGTGGGAGTTTGCCTCTTCCCCGCACTCTTATAGCCTACAGGCCTCCCTTGCCATCCAGGGAATCGTGGTTCTCCACCCATCACCATTCATTTCACCACATACTTAAGGAAGACGAGGGGATGCAGTGTATGCCTCCTTGAGTAAATCTCCCAGGGGTGGCCGGTGAATCTTACGAAGCACCACGGAACACTTTTGTTCTGAGTTGCAGTGGGGCTTAACTGTTGGGCCTCTCAAAGGTGAGATTTGTTTGGGGTAATCCCCATGTCCTTGAGGCAAGCTTGCTTCAAAGGACATATGTTTTTAAGAAAGCAATGAATGTCTATTAGTGGTCCTTATTTTAAGTACAAAATTTATTGCAGTAAAGAGATCAAAACGATTCTCTTAGTGAGTGTGTTTCATGTGACTATCAGAAGTGGGAGTAACCATCCACTACAAAGCAAACTCTGGAAGAAAGCCCAATGACAGAGTTTGTTCAGGTCAGTGGATGCGCTCAGACCCCAGAGAATATTCCAGGAGAACAATCTCAGTAGAGCAATGGAAAGACATGACAAGAGAGAAATAATAAATTGCGTTGCAGATAAACGATCACCTTCCTGTTGGACAACCATGACTGGCCTTCATATCCAGTTATGCCCTTGATGTCAAGGATTCAAATCACGGATGCCCAAAATCATGTTTCATGTAAAGGGACCAGGATTTCCTTTCTTGTGGCTCCCTGTGTATTTGTCAGGACACGCATAATCTGTGCACTCAGCAAAAAAGGAGAAGAGGAGGCCATGGAGGCCCCATTCCATCTCTACAACTCTCTTCCTCCTTGAAAGATCTTCACCCTTCCCACCACTGTCCAAACCATCTTTCGTCATCGACAGAATGATCAGAGGCAAGGAAACTGCACCATGAGGTGAGGGCCAAGCTCCTGGGCAGAAAACGTGGGG